CTCAGGCCACTGATGAAGTTGGCTGCCAAAGCCTTTTGGGAGAGGCAACAACAATTATCCAAGATTGTCTCTGGTATTTATCCAGGAGGATAAACTGACTACGAGGACATGCAACTGGGCTATGCAAAAGGACTAGTGCATGCCTAGAAGGAATACACTCCCGAAGACTTAACATGGACCCGGGTCGAATGGCACCCTCAAAGACCGTTTTCCTCTACAAACCAGTGGTACTTTAGGGTCCATGTGAGCTTTCAGCGGGGTATAAATATAACAAAAGTCCTGCCTTCAGTGTTCCAAAATTGACCTCTGGTCCAGTCAGAACGACGAAATCCGCCACTTCCTGCGGGAGTTCATGCAGGATGGTGCCCGCTGCCACGCTCCAGCCAAAGGCAGTTCCACAACCTTTGAAGGCTGCGCCAATGAAGAAGCCATCACAAAGGTTGTGGAAAAAATCTCCAATAACAACAGCTCCCACTAGCCGGGCTTTCGCCCTGAATTGGGCTTGGAGATCCTCAGCTGTCTTCTCAGTTCCTTTCTCTTCAACCTCCTGAGCCGGAGTTTCCGCGTTGGGATTCCGTGCCAGCATGAACAGGCTGAAGATGGTCTCAACCACAGGTGGCACCACCATGCCCGCCAGGATCATGGCCCCCCAGCGCCAAAGGACATCCACCTCTGCCTGCCATCCTGTTGCCACTAGGTGTGCGGCCTCAAAGAGGAGCAAGAAGAAGGCGCACGCGAGCAAAGCTCCTGCTGCAAAGGCAAACAGCAGGGCACTGAAGAGAGGCATCGTGGAGGCTCGTTTCACCGGTGGGAACAGCAGAATCACTCCGATCAAAGTGACCAAGTTCACCAGCACCGATGCAAGCACAGGACCTCCAGCGTCCACAGCGGCTTCTTCTGTTACCGCATTGGCATCCGGTATGGTCGCTTTTGGCTCGATATCGTGGCCATGATCGTCCTTGAGGTAATGGGCAGTGGCTTCAAACTCCGTGGGCACGTGCTCCGCAAAGAAGGCAATTCCAGCTGCGGAACTGGCATCCACGTTGTAAAGAGACTGCCAGGCACTCTGTCGGAAGATCAGTTTGTAGCAAGTATTGGCGGCTGGAACGATGGTGCCCCCAGCCTGCAAGTCTGTACAAGTGAGGTTCATCGCGTGGTCGCCTTGCTCTTCCAAACCATGTAACGTCTCCTCAGTGAAGGTGGTGACTGGCAAAGCCACCAAAATCATCGTTGCGTCCGCGTACCTTTCGTTCACCTTCTGTGCAGTCCAAAGGTAATCACTTTCTGGTGTTTCGAAGATGCCTGCCCACTCGAATGCCTCCTCGCCATGTTCATGTTCCCCACCACCCCTTGCCATGCAGGGCAAGCTGCTGAGGGTCGTGAGCAGCACACCAAAGCGCACTGACTTCATGATCATCCAAGTGCTGGGATCAGCGAAGCAAGGTGTGCAAGCCGGACACTACACTATGCTTTCAACCAAAAA